ACAATAGCCCTTCCTAGTGGTCCCTGACCACTACCATGGGCACAGCTTTGGCCTAGCTTGGAGACAGCAGCAAGAAGCAGTTCTCAGCTATGCTCAAGGAGATGGGCCTAGGGTAGGGCTCCCTGAGACCAAGCACCCTGTCATCCCAAGGTGCTCAGCATACCACCCAGCAGGCGTTGCCAAGGTCTGCAATCTTGATCTTGATCTTGTCTGCATTTTGGGGCTCCAGGGGGTTCACCAGGAGGTTGGAAGCACCAAATGGTGCTGAGGAAAAAAGGAGGAAGAGAGACTGATCTGGCCCTGCCCTTCCTGGCCCTGCCTGTCCACTACCCATTGTTTCCCACACTTACTGCTAGGAGACAGAAGACCCCCAGTCTCACGCTGATTAGATGAGCCTGAGAGGATGGAACAGGAAGCCGCGGAGAACAGGGACCCTGAGAAACCTGAGGTCTGTGAGCTTGGACTAAGACTGCGGTCACCCCCAGGCACAGGGGAAGAGGAGGCTGGAGAGGGGCCAGCCCTGATGCCCTCCGGGTGGCAGCCTGAAGAAGAGGTGGAGCCGCTGCCCTGCTCTAGTCTTGAGCCAGAGTCTGGGGAGAAAGAACAGAAGGGGACATGAGCAGAGGCCTGCAACCTACATGCGTACTTAGGGCGCCAGTGCCCTCTCTGGCCCCTCACCGTCAGCCTGTACTGTGGCCTCCATGGCCTCCAGCCTCTGCAAGTCCCTCAGCCGCTCCTCCAGCAGCCGCTTCTGTTGCTTTCTTTTGCGCCTCATCTTCTTCCTCTTGTTTTTGGACAGCTTACCAGTCTGCCACCAGAGTATGGGTCACCCCCCCAGGTTTCCCTGCCCAGCCCTGGACCCCAGAACTAACTCCCATGGGTATTAGAATATGGGTGCTATTACATTCTATCTCATTCTTGGTACCAATCCCTCATTCATTTTCTTTCTTTCTTTCCGTCTTTTTTGTTTGTTTGTTTGTTTATTTGTTTGTTTTTCAAGACAGGGTTTCTCTGTGTAGCCTTGAGTGTTCTAGACTTGCTAAGTAGACCAGGCTGGCCTTGATTTCACCGCGAGTGCTGGAATTACAGGCGTGCATCACTGCAATGGGCTACCTCATTCATTTTTGTGCCTCTCCTCCTACCCGCCCCCAAAGCTTTGTGGTTTGGTGAGAACCTGGTAGGCCCATCCTAAACTGTTTCTTGTCTACCCTCAGCCCTAGATGAAGCTGTCTGAAGTAGCCATTTGGGGAAGGAACGGTATCCTCCTACTGAGGTTGTAGTAGGCCCAGTGGTCACCAGAGGCAGTTTGAAGCATATGACCCATTCTGTGTAATCACTCTGTTCTCCAGTACCCAGCTTTTTAGAGGTGCCACTGTAGAAGTTCAAAAGGTGGAACAGGTGTAGCTGAGGAGCCAAGCCCTGAGGACGTGGCCTTATCTGGCTTGGATGGGAAAAGGAAACAGGGAAAGAACTTACCAAGACTTCCTGGGGGGCAGTGCTGACTGGGGTTGGGGGTTGGGGAGAGAAAAAAACATAGTAATCAGGTAGTGACTGAGGTCCAGAGTCCTGGTACCAGTCCCCACACATGCTCTTGGTACCTGTTGAGCGGGATGGGGGCTGGGCCCCTGACTGCTGCCACTCTGTGGCTTCGGCAGCCAGACGCCTGATGTAGGCATCTCCAACACACAGTAGGATGTTCTCAGGCTTGATGTCCGTGTGGATGATCTTGCACTTAGTATGGAGGTAATCCAGACCGTGCAGCACCTGGCAAAGCTATAGCTGAACCCCAGCAGCCATACCCGACCAAGCTGGGCAGCCTTGGGCAGTACCTACTTGCCTAACGATGCTCTTAACACAGGGCACAGGCAGACCCTGGTAGTTGGACTTGATGATCCACTTGAGGAGCTGGTGGCCCAGGACTTCTAGCACCATGCATACATCTGGACCTGGAGTAAAGGGCAGCCAGCAACACAGAGTTGAGGCACAAGCTTACCTACCCTCCATCATGGAGGAGCACCTAGGCTCCAGAAGTGCAGAGGTCAGAGAAGCAGGGCGTCCCCTGGACCATCTTGGCTATCACTGTCCCAGTTTATTATTTATAGTGTTTCTGTCACTGTCAAAGATGTGCCAGTTGGGATGGTACTTCTTGTTATCCTAGAGATGTCTCTCATATCAGCCTTATTCTGCCCAAGTATTCCAAAAGGCCTCAGAAGTAGCCTTTTTATTTTTGGGGGTCACTCAGCAGCATCCACAGATAATCATTGTCAAACTAATTACCTGTGTTCCTCCTACTCAGAAACACAAATGCCCAAAGGAATGGGATTGTTTTATGGTCTATCTCTGCAAGGGCTGAATCCCATGGTGCAGACCAGATGTCTGAGGCCCTTTGAGTGCCATATTGCTCATTCTGCAAAGGATACGGACTCCATTAACTCCTGAAATCCTGAAGTCATCAATGAGCTGAACAATGGTCTCTCTTTTGGGGTCACTAGGGTCACTGTCCCGGACCTGGAACAAAAGGCAAGGGGCCACAGATGACTCCAACTTGTTCTTCACCAGCTGTTCTTCTCAGCTCTGAAGCACTTCTGGCTCCTTTTCCCAGTCCAGCTGGGGCCCATTTGAAGAGAGGCAGCTGCCTCTTTCAGGCCTCTGCCCTGTCAGTCCTCTTACTTGGCAGAGCCATCTGGAGCCTGCCCCTCTGGGAGGCCCGCCCCAGTCTGCAAGGCCTCAGCAGGCCCTGCACTCACATTGCCAGGCCCAAGGCGGTTTGAGGAGCCTGGAACAGTAAAGGGAGGTGCCTCACACATTTCAGGAGCTTGATCTCATCCACGGCTGTCTCTGTGTAATGCCCTGCGCTCTTCACTACTTTCAGGGCCACGAAGCGCTTCCGCCTGTAATATGGAAACCCTCAGAGGCTGCCAGCCCTTGTCAGAGTCACATGGTCACAGTGGTAGCCTCAACCAAACCCATGGGCAAATCCCAGCCACTCACTGAATATCCCAGCAGAGCCAGACAGTAGAGAAATGGCCCCAGCCTAGCTTGCGCACCACGTGGTACCGCCCATTGAACAAGTCACCAATCTTCACTGGGTAGTAACCACCTGTAAAAAGGAGCTGATAGATCAGAGTAGGACATCTCAAGATAGCCCAGTCCTGCTGGTCAGCTGTCCCACATGGGCCTAGTCTCTAGGCACCTTCTTCCTCACAGGCTGTCCTGAGCCCTGAAGTGACAATCTGGCTGGCCACATGCATCCAAAGCCAGACCTTACCCTTGCAATAGTCCTTGGGGTCTTCCTGCTCCTCATCATCGGAGCCCAGGAGTCCCTGTAGCAACCGAGGTGCTGGTGTGGCTGGAGCTAATTCAGAGCCTGAGGATTCAGGCCCACAGGAAGTCTGAGAGCTGTGGGTGAAGAGGGGGGACACAGACAGCTCACAAGATGCAAGGGACCCCAGTCTCCCCAGCCGGGTCATACCTGCTGCTGCTTCCACCACAGTCCACACCACCACCACCAGCACTGGCACTCATTCTGGTGTCAAAACCCAACGCTCTGGTGCACTGGACCACTGTTCCTGTGGGGCCCAGCCGTGGCCAGTGCATTTATAGCTTCTGCTGCTGATCTCACCCGCCTTTATAAATAGCCTCCCAGCTGCTCAGCTGTGGGCAAGGTATGTGGCACAGTGAGGGAGGAGTGTACTGGAGAGCCCAGCCCCTAAGCTGAAACCCCCTGTTTTACCCACACTCAAGAGACGGGTCCACCAAGCTGGGGTTATAGTAGTGACTCCGTTCCTAGGCTGATTCCCCACGGTCCAGGACGAGCCAAGGAAGACATCTATATGGAGATGGAGCACTTTTACCCTAAGGCTGTTGGAAGAGGAGGCTCCCATGAAAGAGTTTACCTGACATGGTGACCTGGGTCTTTAGGCGGAGCTTTGCAGGGCACACGATGCATTCTTGAACTTCCCACTTAATCCATGTGAGTATCCTTTTGGAGGTGAGCCCTGCCAATCTCATATGAACCCCGTTCTCTGCTCATTCTCAGCTCTGGTCCCACAGTAATTCACAGACCCCCAATAGAGGTGTGGGCCTAGATCTCCCCTAAATGTGACTGAGCAGGAGTCAAGGGCAAGAGCTAAAGGCAACTCATTCCTCCCATCAGAGGCAACAGACCCTTCAGATCACTGCAGACTTGTATAGCCTCCAGAGCTGGCTGCCTCTACCTTGATGACTGTCTCCACCAACATTTGCAGGTTGCTGCTGTGGGCCATCTCTGCTCTGTTCACCAGGAGAACAAAACAACCAGAGTTGCTGCCCATAAGCTAGGTGGTAACCGAGAGATCCTGTGTATCCTGAGGTACCAGGAAGCATTAAGTCCCCAGAAGCAGTCAGAGCAACACAGGGCACACAAGGAGACTGCCATGTGCCAGCATCTTACAGAATGCAAGGACCTGGGAAGACAACTGAGAACATCACCCGGAGTTTATGGGTACCACTGGAGAGTTCCAGAAAAGTGAACAAGTACTTCTGGGACTTTGGAAAGTCTCTTCAGCTGGAAGAATGATGCCCAGCACTTCATAAACCAGTTGTGGTGGAATGTGCCTGTAATCATAGTACTCAGGAGGATCAAAAGTTCAAGATTATCCTCCAGCTACATAGCAAGTTCAAGGCCTGCCTGGGATGCATGAGACCCTATCTTCCAAAAAAGGGGGAAGGGCTGTAGAGATGGCTCAGTGGTTAAGGATACTGGCTATTATTGTCCAAGTTCAAGTCCCAGCACCTACATGACAGCTCACAGCATGTCTACAACCTCAAATCCCAGAGGATCTGTCACCCTCTTGTGGCCTTCCTGCACACCAGGCACACAAAGGGTGTGTAGGCATACATGCAGGCAAAACAGTCATATAGAGAAAATAAGAGAGAATGAGAGTGTAAGAGAGAGTCTACTCTAAGTGCTTTTAGATTACAATAAAGAGCAAAAGTGAAGCTAGGAGGCTAGCCAGAAACTTCTGAATGAAGCGGAGGGCCCTTGGCAGTGGCTCTGATTATATCAAGACAAGAGTCACTTTGGCCAGTGTCCTATGGTAAGAAAAAAACTGCTATGGGTGAGGCAGGCATAGAAAGAACAGCTTCCCTGAAGAGCTTGGGAGGTCAGGAAAGGAGGGACAGGACAAACTATAAAAATCCCAATTACCTCTTCTTTCCCCAAGGGTGGCAAATTACAGCCATTAGACCAAGAGCAAAGCTGAACAGAAGAAAGGCTTGTAGAAAAGCCTTGTGCAGAACCTGAGCGTGTCTGGTGAGTGAACCCTGGCATTGGGAGAAGTGGCATTCTAGAGTTGGAAGGTGGGAATGCAGATGGTTCCCCTACAACCCCAACTCATGCCTCTCACCTCAGCCCCAGGGAGTCCTGAGAACTGACACTTGGCAGGTAAAGGCAGGAGCCGCAGATTGAGATTGTTTTTAAACAGATATGTTTATAATTTATTTCTAGATGTGATTTTCCAGCAAGCAAATAAATACAGTGGGAGAGAGGGTAGGGATCATTATAAATTAGAAACAAGCTAGATGGGTGGCAGTAGGCACTCTATCTAGCCTTGCTGACCCCTCTTCAGTCACTGCTTGGTCAGGGTTGTAAGGTACTTTGGTGGTGGATCCTGCTCACTGTTCTATAAGCTGGCAGGTCTCAGATGACCACTGTTGCCCTAGTTCACAGGTCAGTCACTTTGTTCTCCACCAGGGCAGCGATCTGCTGCAGGCGGCAAGCCAGCTGCATCTTCTGAGCCACTGGGTCCTCTTCCAGGGCACTGATAATCTGTTAGAAGAGCAGAGTACCTGCTTGAAATCCCACCCCTGTGTCCAACTGCTCAGGGCCATCAGTCTTCTTCCAGTCTCAACAAGGGCCTGGGATAATCAGAGTAGGGGTTCTGCTGGAGACCTGCCCAGGGAGACCCTGATGAAAACCAAGACCATTTCCCAACCTGGGCTCTTCCAGCCTAGGATGACTCCTGTCCTTTCTTCACTCTATCTGGATTGGGCCACCCCTAACCCTATTGGCTCCCCCCACCCCCATCAGAGAGGTCCTGTGAGTTCTTGTCTTAGCTATATCTCCTCCAAGTGCCTGCCCTCTCCCCTCAAGAGTGCTCTGGTCTCACCTGGTCATAATACCTGTGGATGTGGTTGTAAAGTTCTCGAAGAGCCTCCAGACAGTGGGGAGCAGAGGTATAGTTCTATGGGTAGCATGTGGGGGTCAGTGAGTCCCTTATCCCAAACCTCAAGACCCAAGGCTCACCATTTCTGTACTGCCAGTTTCTTTTGCCCTAAATGTGCAGGAGAGGTCCCTTGGGCCATGCCTTACCCCAGAGAGTTCAGCCAGAGCTGAATTCATTTCCTGATAGCTTGCTGGAGAGCTCTGGCGAATGTCCGCATAGTACCTAGAGAAGTTAACAGGTTTAGGGGCCTGCGTCTCTGATCCCCAGCTCCAAAGGCTCTGATACCTACTTCTCCACCATCTGCTTATAGCGAGGGATCTCCCGGGCGTAGAGCAGTTTGTTCACCGGAGAATCCTGTTCCAGGTAGAGGAGGTGAGAGTTATAAACAGGGAGGTAGGAGAACCACCTTACCCCACCATCTCCTACTTCCATGATGGCATCCCTCTAAGCATCCAGGCTCTGCACTGGGTTTCTCCCACAAACCTTTATTTGCCTCTCATGCCCTGCTTTTGCCCTCACCCGGCCCACTTTATGCTCTGAGACCATGCAGGAGTCGATGAAGGTCTGTGCAATCACAGTCAAGATGGCATTCTCGTTGTCTGACACCCGCACATCAAAGATGAGCTGTGGGTTCTTCAAGGCATTCACCCAGAACCGCAGCAGTAAGCTGGAGACACAGGTCAAGTGTGGGGATGAAGCCTGGCCTGCCATTGTGGCCTCTTCTCTCTATACACCAGCTCCCCACTCCTCCACATGGATGTCTGTCCTAGAGCTGAGGACCTAGGCAGCAGGGAACTCAGGCTTCATTTTCCATGGGAAGCTATCCTCATGGTCCAAGTGACCTGAGGCTGGACCCTCCTATTCAAGATGGAGAATGAGGACAGAAACTCAAGGTGTTTATACTGTATAAAGCCTGGGTTCCTGGACCTCCTACCTTTGTCATAATGTCCTTGTGCCTCTGAAATTCAGTAGACCACCCACAAGGTGGGAAATAGATGAGTCAACAAGAAGGGTACCTGTTTGTTTTCCAAATGTGCAGGGTCTCTGGATCCTCGATGCCATGTTTCTCTGCCAGCTCATCCAGGAAGTCAAAAAGGTACTTAACAGCAATAGGCACAGGATGGTTCACACTAAGAATGGCCTGGAAGGTGTCATCCACAAACTTCTGCAAGGTGCCCTACAGGAAGGTCATGAGGATCATGTGAAGGCGGGGTGTAAAGGGAACTACCCCCTGCCTCATCAAAACCATACCTTCTCCCAAGCTCAGTCACAATTCCTTGACAACCCTGATCCATTGCCTGGCTCCTCTGGCTGCACCAACCTTCATTGAAAGTAAGCGAGTGAGATAGATCTCAGGAATGGCCTTGGCTCGTGCCCGTTCTCGTTCTCGTTCCCGGAGGCTGCTACGCCGCACTTTGCCTCCTTCTGGCTCCTCAGTGGCCTTTACTAGGTGCCAGAGCCGAACTCCACCCTCCTCACTGTCTTCCAGCATGGGAGTGTCTAAGAACACAGAAGCTTGGCTTCAGTCTCATTCTCCTGCCCTCATCATGCAACCTAAGGATATGCAGCCTATACTTCTCTTGGGATGGGGTGAGGAAAGAGCAAGAAGGGATAAGGTCAGGGACAAGCTCAGGAACTTGCTCAGCCTGATACATCATGCTTCCAGAATTTCCACACCTTGGTTCAGCCTGGAGATTTGGCTATCCCACTGGCAAGGAGGGGTGGGAAAACTAGATGAGGCAGATAAAGTAGCTAGGACTTCTGCTGGCCCAGCCTGGGGGTCTAGCGAGTCTAACCTGGACCACCCCAACAGTGCTGGGGCTTCTGGCAGATGGGAATGGCTGGGCCAAGGAACTTACTTTCTCCGGAGGGGCAGCCAGTCTGGCCCAGACTCTGGGAGACAGTACCACCATTATGCAGTTGAGGAATGAGAACCACCGTTGCTCCATCTGGGACCTGCAGGCAGGGAATGAGAGCACAGACTGACCCTAGAGGCAGCCCCTGCCCATCCACCCTGGCCTGTTACCACCCATTAGCACCTTGTAGTGTTGTAGGGTGTTGAGTCTCTTCCATTGGTTTTGAGTCACAGAGGTCAAATCCTCATCTGAGAGGGTTAGGTGACCAGCTAGGCCTGAGCGCCACTCTAGAGGGACCCAGAGAATCCCATAAGTTCATAGCAGTAGCTGAGCAGCTTCAAGCATGGGAAGAGCAGTGAGTGAGTAGGGAGTGGGGTTGGCTTTCTCACCAAGGTCTAGGGAGTACACTGAAGGCCTCTGGGAGAAGGGGGTTCCCTTGTAGACTTGATCCAACACCTTCTCCTTGACTTGGGTAATGGTATCTGTGTCAAGCACCCGGGCTGGCACTTGATGCACATTGCTGTTCCCTGCTGCCCCAGCAGCCCCAGGCTCCACCAGTGCCATCAGAGTCAGGGGCCGGAATTCCACATCCTCTCGTAGCAGGTGGCTATCATTCAGAGTTCGTTTTGCCTTGCCTGTCACAGCGTCCACAGGGCCCTTGTCCACCTGGTACTTGATGGCCCGGAAGAGCATATACAGTGGCTCACCAGCCACTTCCTACAACAATTAAGATGGACCAGCTATTGGCCACAGGGCTAGTGGACCCAGCAAGGCCCAGCAGAGGGCATGGTGGGACAGGGAGGGGCAGTTAGCAGCCTACAGCAAAAATGAACAGAGGTCAACCAGCCAACACAGGCCCCTGGGCTGGGGCCCCAAGCCCGTTTTGTCCCTGTTTAACAGTCAGCTGAAGAAGGGGCACAATGCCTTTCCTTTCCAGCAGTCTCTTGTCTTGGGCTTCTCATGGGTCCATTGAGCAGAGAAAAGGATCTCATGACCTTCATTAGCTAGCCCACCCTAAATCTCAGCCGAGGGTTCTGGGAGGGAGTTAGGTATGGAGACCACAAGCAGGTAGAAGTTCTTAAATGCCAGGGAGGCATGTTGGAGAGTGCCCCTCACCTTCAAGAAGGCATAGAGACAGATGGATAGCCAGTTGGTGAGCAGCTTCTCTACCATGGTCTCTGTCCTGTATGGAAGAGGCCCAGAATCCTGGTGAGAATAGTCCTCAAATCTGCTAGTCCTGAAGTTCCCGGCTCCTGACCTCAGAGCCTGATCCCACTCAGCAGCATGTATTAGGAATGGGTCAGAGGTGAGCCCCTGCCCCTGCCCCCACATCCAGGTCAAGGCCAACCTGCGTAACATGAGCTTGGGGTTCTTGTGTACATAATGGGCTGCAAGGTCACCAAGCAGAGTTCTCATGATGTCCGTCAAATACTCAAGCTTGCTGTGCAGAGCCAGGGAAAGTAATGAAGCCACGTGGCAGCGGTCCCTCTGGGAGAAGCTGGGCTGCTCCTCTAGGGTGTGGATGAGCTGGACAGGGAATTAGTATTCATTCCACAAAACTCCATACCCTCCCTCTTTCTACAGCCGTGTCTCTACCAGGGGCCAGCCAGTCTCCAGCCCCACCTGCCTACCTGCCGAGACTCCCCTGCCCTGCCTGTCCCCACCATCCATGTGGCTCTCACTGTGAGAAGGAAGAGCTTGCTGTTGAGCAAATTGGAGAGTTGTGTGAATCCCTGACGCACGGTGGCATGGCGACCCTCTTCCCCAGGCCCTTCGAGCCCTGGCTGCAGTGGGCAGCCACCATGGCCGGGAAAGAAGGCACGCTCAGCATATGTTCGGTAATCCAGGAAGGGAATCCCACTAGCCTCTAGGTCACTGGTGAGGTCTGTCATCTCAGTCATCAGGTCTGCAGACCAGGATCCATCAAGATGTAAGTTCAGGCCTGGTGGATATCCTGTCCTCCCACTTGAACCCCTCTTCCCCACACAGACACACCTGTGAACTCCTTGCGGCACTGGTCACCCACACCAGTCTCCAGGTTCTCCAACTGCACCAGCACCTTCTGATAGTCTCGCAGGGCCTGCTTGCTCTTGTGCCTGGAGCCAGAAGCCAGGTATCAGCCACAGGCTGAGACCAGCATGGCCACTGGCCTAGGGCTTGCTATGGGAAGTTTGCCCACATGCGCTGAAGAGGGAGCACCCTCACCTGTACGTGAGGGTGAGGAGGAGCACTGCGGCAATCAGCATAGCAGCACCCAGGCCCAGGCCCACCTGGGCCTCCACAGGAACCATGGACATCATGGGCTCTGCTTCATACTGCACAGGGCCCAGAGTCAGGCGCACATTGCCCATCTGCACCTGGAAAAGCACAGCTCCTGAGCTAGGGCCTACAATACAGGGCCCATCCACCGGGGGGCATACACTCACCACCAACTGTGGCAGGGTGCCTGAACCATTGGTGGGCTGAGGGGCTTGCGAGGGTGGCTCACAGTACAAGTGAGTCAGTGTCAGGGTCTTCACCAGGCACTCTCCATCGCCAATGTGCACCTGCACCTCCTCCTTGGTGATCCCCAGATTGAGGCCCTCACCCTGGGACACATAGCAAGAGCAAGAGCCTGAGCCTGTGGGACCATTCCCTGACCCTACCCCTTCTTCTTCAGGATGGTGAGTGCACGGGCAGTGTCTGGCTAGTGGCACACTTACCTCCACATCCAGGACATGGCCTGGCTTGAGGCGGTGGGGATGAGTGATCCCCTCATGACTGAGTGGAACCAGGCGAGGGTTAGGCTGGTACAGGAATCCCTGGCCCCCACTAGCACTGGCAAAGTCTACTTGCATATTGTCTAGGGAAAAGAAGACTCGCTTTGGGAGGGCCCCGTCTGGCACTGCTGGACTGTGGCACAGGAGGAGGCTGGATGAGTTGACAGAGCACAGGGTGGAGCACTGGAGGAGGCAGGGATGCAGATCATTGACTTTCCCTGCCCCCTCACTGAGCATTCCCTGGGGATGGCTCTGTTCCCTGCTAGAGGTGGTAGAGGAACTCACCTGTAGCAAGCCACCCTCGAGCTGGATACAAGTCTGGGGATCGGCAGCAGGGGCACCACAGCTCCTCCTTGGGTTCACATCCTGGGCCTGGACACCCAAAGCCTTCACCTGGGCCTCATCCTCCAGCCACACAGACAGCAAGGGCTGCCACACGACATCTAAGCCTGTACCCCTGACTCGGATCACTCGTCCACCTCTGTGCCATGATTGAAGTCAAAAGAGTTGAGAGAATCTTGGGTAGTTCAGCCCAAGTACCCCATTTTTCCAGTGGCTTGCTGTGGGTTGTTCATTTGCTTACCCCCGGAAGCTGACACTAGGCTCTGCTGCTATCAGTTGGGGGTTGGCAGTGTATCGAAAGGGGGTGTTGAACAGTTTGCGCTCAACATGGCCAAAGACTACAAGGACGACTGCTTCTCCTGGCTCAGCCTGGGGCATGGTGTGACAGATGATGGCTTCAGGGCACACAGGTTCCTGGCTGCAGGGGAGGGCATGTTCTCACTTTGGGCTCAGCCCTAGTGAGAGGCCAGTCTTCCAGGAAAACACCCCACTTGCTTCCCTCATTGGGGGCAGAGGTTACAATAGGAATATGGGCCTAGCACCAGTTCTCTCAGAATTTCAAGGAAGCCTTGAATCCACTGCCCCATTGTGCAAGAGGGTCCCCCAGTTGACAGCAGTTAGGCGTGGAGCAGGCGAGATGTGCTGGGTACTCACATGGGGCAAGGCTGGTCACCTACAAAGGCACTGACGTTGCCTCCTGTCTGGAGGTACTGCCCACGGATGGTGAGCTTGGTGCCCCCCGCCTGGGGTCCCCACTGAGGATTCAGATCCAGCAGGACAGGGTCCTGGGGAACAGACAAAAAGAGCCCATCCTGAAGGCCTTCCAGCTTTGAGGTGCAAGCCCACTTGTTGGTCTCCTGAGTCAGGGGACTTAGTCAACTGGACCCCTCCTTCTTGAAATGCCAAGCTAGCTTAGGCTAGCTCCCATCCTGTCTACCCCTGCTCTTGTGACCACCTTCCCCGTCTTGAGCAGCTTACACTGGGGATCTCCCAAAGTCTAAACTTTGGGAGATCCAGTCACCAACCTGGGGCACTGCAGCAGAACTTGTCCTAACCCACTGCTCCCTTCTACCTCCACCTTGGACTTTCTAGTGCACAGTGGTCCAATCTGTGCCTACTGCTCAGGCTAGCATCTGGGA